GTGTGTGTGTGTGTGTGTGTGTGTGTGCGTGTGTGTGTGTGCGTGTGTGTGAATGATGTGAGTGTGTTTGTATGCATCAATTAAAGCAGCACATTAATATAGAACGGTGATTAAACTGACTTGTAGTATTCAAACAGACCATGGTACAAATAAATATATATATTACAGTTAACAAGTGATAACTGTATAAAACTACTGCAGTTCTGCATTACTCAGTGTTTTGAAAAAAATCTGCAGCATAGTACAGTGTTGCAGCATTCTTTGGTCTTACCTCTTTGGAGTCATCACTAGCCAATGCATGAGACAAATGTGCGCTGAACGTGCTCTTCCCAACACCTCCTTTTCCAGACAAAACCAGAATCTTGTGCTTCACAGAGGTCAATTTCTGTCTGATTTCCTCTATGGCTGCAATGAGAGAAACAAAGTCACACACTTCAGATTTAGATAGAGCCAACAGGCTATTTTAATACAAAAAGAACATTGTTGTACATCATCATCTGTTGACAAATCTAAAGGACAAATCTAAAGAGTCATGGTATGACATGCCATCAACCTTGAATAACATTTAGAAAAATTTCAATTTAATTTAATTTGTTCTTTCTTTATGAACATTCAAAGTCTCTTGGAGGAAACTGCTCACACAGAGTTGACTAATTTTAGCTGTGATATATTTATGTATGTACGCATGTATAAATACCTGGATCCGGAGCTTTGGCAGCACCAGATGCACATATGTTTTGGTTTGGGCATCCTTGACATGCTGATGATTTACCAGCCTGGTCACTGCTTGTGCCCGGACAGTCTAGAGAGAATGACAACAGATTTAAGCAATTAAAAAACAGAAATGTATAGTGTGTATCTGAACAGATGCCTCTGTAAGTTTTACCCTCCCTTTTCTGACTTTAACCGAGATTAATACAATGAGAGACAGGCGGACTTAGACATAAGGTCACTATGCCATTCAAAGATTCACCAGAACTAACTTCCCACACTTAGCTTGACAGCATATTGTAACTGTAACTGTATTCATGGATGTTAACGTAAACAGTAATGTAAAGGTCTAGGCAGCTCAGCTGACACAAGCAGCTGTTGTGACAGACCCTCTGATATGACACGTCATTTTCCAAGACATAAACATCAGAGAGGCACAGCGAAACGTGTCGGATACGTGTAGAGTTGGCGAAAGCGTCATTTAAACTGTACACAGATGGCAGCCTAGGAAACTGTGGGTTCTATACGCTTAATGTGAAAATGTATTAACATTCATAGAACTTACGTTCTGGTGCATCATTAGGAACGTCCGCCATCTTTCAAAACATGCGCACTTCCCATAGACTGACACTGGTGCAATGACTTCCCCGGGTGATAAACGCTGGGTGTCGAAGGTTCCGCACAGTCACTTGTTAGGGCATTGCGGTAAATTTGGTTGGGCTCATAATCCATTTTGCACACAGTGTGGCTTTGGTTTGTGTGGCGGTCAAAAGTAAAAAAAAAAGTGTATATATATATATATATATATATAGAAGGTAAATACTTTATGAGCAACATAGCAATTATCTCTTACTTTTAAACTGCTTTTTATTTCGTCTTTTATTGTTTTATGTGCCTCTGTTTTCCCCCTAAAATATTAAAGCCTGTTTGAACTATTTTACTATTTTAGATGGCGTTTATAATGATAAACTATCAATTTAACTCCAGATAAAAAGAAACTTTTGACTGTGTGTTCTCAAGTGACACTGTAGACCACTTTACACCAAATAATTTTCACACAAAATGTTTAATATTCTGTGGGTTTTTAGAATATTATTTTTCGATTTATGAGTAAAATACATAAGTAATAAGACTTTCATATTCTGTTCAGTAATACCTCAACCATGAATTTAGCAACTTTTTAACAAACTGTTACATAAAGCCTGCAGTGGTTTCTGATTCATCGCAAATTTATAGTCCTTGGCAGGTAACTTTAACATATAAACATAAAATAAAGCTTATACAGCCTATATATAATAAACAATTAAAAATCATATAAAATATTAATATTTAATTATTATTATTATTATTACAAATAATTATATTAAAATAAAAATAAATAAATAAAGCAGCTTTAAAACTCATGTTTGAGGTATGTCAAGTTTGAGGTATGCTTGTGTGTAATTTATGTTTTAGAACAAAGAACAAAGTGTTTTAGAACAAAGTGTGAACGTATTCTGGAGAAAGTTATTGAATGATATAACTGAAGGATTGTTTATTTAGGTAGTCCTTAACTCTTTTACTGACAGGTAGCTCTGGAATGCCTTTTATGAGGAACAACTTTCTCTCTGAATTACTTCTCACTTCTAGGTGGTCGGCAAACAGGTTTATTCAGATATTCTACAAAATTAACATATGTAACTCTTATAATTACCACTTTTTTATCAAGGCCTTATTTAACTTTTTTTTAGTATGTGGCACATTTAAGTGAAGTGACGTGTGGTCAAGTATGGTGACCCATACTCAGAATTTGCATTTAACCCATCCAAGTGCACACACACACCGTGAACACACACCCGGAGCAGTGGGCAGTCAATGCTGTGGCGTCCGGGGAGCAGTTGGGGGTTCGGTGCCTTGCTCAAGGGTCTAACCTCAGTCGTGGTATTGAAGGTGGAAGAGAATGCTGCTTGGAGATATATTGGTGTCATACAAAAATAAATAAATAAATAATGGTGACCTTCTGCCTACTTGAGCAAAGTGTATGAAAGGTCAACTGTAATAACTCTTGTGCAAATCAAAAGGAATGTCACTCTGTGGCTACAAATTCCAAACATATTACCCTAGCCACAAGTTCTGATCTCAGATCTTCACACTCACTCAGCTGTTTTAGTTAAACAATGATTAAAAGGCAATTGCACCTCTCTGCCACCAAAGGGTTAACTCAAGTGTTTGTGCAGGGCTTTTGAGGAAGCAGAAATGACTTTCTGGCAACACTGGAGTTAGTTTCCTAGTCCCTCCCAAGGGCCATGTCACTGTATACAGGATGGCTTTGTGCTTGAATTGCCCAGTTACGGATGTTTCTTTTTAAATGTCAGAGAGCGACATAAAAGGCAAAAGGTGATTGGCTGACTTCTGGCCATTTGTCATCCACAACTCTTACAAAGCTTTGGAGATTAACTCTTTGAACATCTAAGGCTCATGTTGTGGGGAAAAGGTGGCAAATTAAACTTCAAACTACATGAGTTAGAATGATTTTTTTTTTTTTGTGGTTTTATTAATATTTTTTAATGGGGGGGTATCCTCTAGTCCAGTGGTTGGGTTGTTTCTTGACGGTTAAAGCTTCAGGTTATCGGTTTAAATTTTGCGCCCATTAGTTTTCCATGGACAGGGAATGTAATATGAGATGTCCTTTGTTTTTTACACCCTTCACAAATGCTTATAGAGTGCAGACAGCCAGGAAGAGTCACGCCCATGGACAGGCATTATGGGAGGAGAGCTCTTGTCCCCCCTCATCCCCCATTCATATAAAACCTCTTTTATGAGTCCCTCAGGTGTGCTGAGGAATTTTCTCTCTTGCTGAGTTGATCAGAAAACTGTGCAGAAGCTATATTTTCTTGGAAAGACAATACAAAATATTAGTGAAGTAAATTTTTAAAATGCATTTTAGCTTTGACAGAAAAGAGTAAAATGTGCAGTATTGTTAAAGGTTATTTTAGTGCATGCAAACACCGGTGCAATACTTCATTCTGTTCTGTAGGGGGTGACAAAGGAATCACTAAAGAAAAAGGGAATTGGCAAGTCTGAATTTCTTTTTAATTTATAATCATTAAAATTTTTAACAAATGTATTTATATATTACTTATAATATCTGAGAAATATAACGTCATTTTAATAAAGAATACATACAAAGCAGCAACATTTTGAATAACAAGCACATTATTGTGATTGGTGAGCCCCTCAGTCACATGACTTGCACTCAAATCATGTAAATCCATATAAAAGCACTGACTCATAAATGGTAGAAAGTCACTGACTACCCACAAAGGTGTCTCTGTAAGCTCAAATACCCCAGGGCAAGTGCACAAATAAATGTCAGTTTGTTGCCAAGGAAACTATTCCACCTGGCTAGCTTAAGGTAGACCAAGTCGCCAGTCCTTGTCCACTGGAAATGGTGTGCGAGGGTTTTTTTTTATTGTACTTCAGAGACCAATAAGAAGAGTGTGTATTTATATTTCATCAGCTATCTTATGGTTATCATTGTTAGAGTCAGAGACCAGAAATGGGTTTTAGAACAGCTATGTTATGAATAAGGCAAGTTTGTGCTTTTAGTGTTAAAGCCACAGCATATATAGATAACGTCTTATGCACATTGAATTTGATGGATCAAGTGTTTTTGTCTTGTGCATCACCCTTATCTTGTGTCATGTTATGTGAATCAAAGGAATGAATCATCTCGTTGAACTAAAAAAAAAAAACATTCTTGTTTTTCATGAATCATAGGCCTATCTCATGGGTGAATGATAATGAATGAAGAACGACTGCATCTTAACTGATCTGAGACGTCAAATATGTGTGTTTTCTGGATTTGAGCAGAGCCCAGAAATATAAAGTACACCTGATTTCCATTATGGGTCTTGTTTTTGGTGTTTCAGGCCCTGTCCACACAAACGCGGTTATTTTTAAAACCGCAGCTTTTTCTACGAGGTTTGGCCGTTCGTCCACACGCAAACTCTGCACCAGGTCTCCGAACATTTTTGAAAACGCCTGCCAGGGTGAAGATTTTCAAAAACTCCGGTTGCAGTGTTATCGTGTAGACAGAGAAACCAGAGTTTTTGGCTTGTGACGTCGGAGCCTACGCTGTTATCTCCGCCTACTGGAAACTTTTTCAGGCTTCTGATTGGCCAACATGGCTTTACGGTTGAGATTATATCGCCACCTGTTGGTTTGACATGCTCTTGACAGTGCTTCATAGCATGCGTTTGCGTTTTCATGTGGACGGAGATTTTTTTTTAAAACGGAAGAAGGAAAAACGTTTATAAAAATACCATGTACCTGTGGACATGGCCTCAGACTATGTTAAGTTTTCAAAGGGCAACATAGATCCCATTTATTTGCTGGTTAATCTAGTTGAGAAGCACACCTACATCCAAAATACAACATTTGATTAGCATATACAATTACAACCATATTATAAGTTAATGAGGCTTATATTTCAGTTGATTGAGAAAGGTGATTTTATGGCCACCTGACCAAGTTTCAAAGTTCAAAGATACGCAATTGAACATGATTACACTGCTTTTCAGGTAAGATTCATTCATTCATTCATTCATTTTAGCATACTTAGCGTACTCAATTGCTTATTAGGGAAAAGTGACTTCATGGCTGCTTTACCAACTTAAAAAAAAGTTCAAAATACACATTTGGACACTATTATAATATTTCTTGTTTTTCATGAATCATAGGCCTATCTCATGGGTGAATGATAATGAATGAAGAACGACTGCATCTTAACTGATCTGAGACGTCAAATATGTGTGTTTTCTGGATTTGAGCAGAGCCCAGAAATATAAAGTACACCTGATTTCCATTATGGGTCTTGTTTTTGGTGTTTCAGGCCCTGTCCACACAAACGCGGTTATTTTTAAAACCGCAGCTTTTTCTACGAGGTTTGGCCGTTCGTCCACACGCAAACTCTGCACCAGGTCTCCGAACATTTTTGAAAACGCCTGCCAGGGTGAAGATTTTCAAAAACTCCGGTTGCAGTGTTATCGTGTAGACAGAGAAACCAGAGTTTTTGGCTTGTGACGTCGGAGCCTACGCTGTTATCTCCGCCTACTGGAAACTTTTTCAGGCTTCTGATTGGCCAACATGGCTTTACGGTTGAGATTATATCGCCACCTGTTGGTTTGACATGCTCTTGACAGTGCTTCATAGCATGCGTTTGCGTTTTCATGTGGACGGAGATTTTTTTTTAAAACGGAAGAAGGAAAAACGTTTATAAAAATACCATGTACCTGTGGACATGGCCTCAGACTATGTTAAGTTTTCAAAGGGCAACATAGATCCCATTTATTTGCTGGTTAATCTAGTTGAGAAGCACACCTACATCCAAAATACAACATTTGATTAGCATATACAATTACAACCATATTATAAGTTAATGAGGCTTATATTTCAGTTGATTGAGAAAGGTGATTTTATGGCCACCTGACCAAGTTTCAAAGTTCAAAGATACGCAATTGAACATGATTACACTGCTTTTCAGGTAAGATTCATTCATTCATTCATTCATTTTAGCATACTTAGCGTACTCAATTGCTTATTAGGGAAAAGTGACTTCATGGCTGCTTTACCAACTTAAAAAAAAGTTCAAAATACACATTTGGACACTATTATAATATATATATATAT